GCCATTTGAAATCCGTTTGCCAGAATTCACAAAGAACAATAGACCTCATGCCAGGTAGGTCTTTAAAAAAATCAAGATAACTTACCAAATTTGGAATTTACTTGTCAGGCTATAAATATTTATATTGCGGCTTTTTTTGTATAGTTATGAACCTGAACTTCATCCTGCTGTGTGCTATCGGATAAAATCTCTACGAGCTACGTTACAGATTTTTTCAACAGGAAGTATTACCGTAACAGGTATTTTATCATATTGAAACCAGGCTTGTCATGTATGTATTGAGTAAGAAGTGCTTACAACAAAACAGAAATAATGTCTAATTTGTCCCCTTCAGTAACTTATGCCCTTCAAGGGGAACCAGTCTTCTGACTTTTAACACTATAATTAGTTTTAACTGCTTATATATAGTATTTGAAAATCTAATAATATACTATTCTGTGTCTGTCTTCGACTAGTTATTATCCTAGCGAGATTCATCCTTATTGTTACATGTATTTGTAGATCATTCATTCTTGTTGCTATATAGTATTCAGTCACTGAATGTACTGTGCATAGGCATTTGGATAGTTTCCAGTTTGGAGCTATTAAGAATATTCAAGTATGTATTTTCATAATAAGATTTTTTAAGTTTATGGTATCTTGCATTTAAAATACCCAAGAGAAACCCATTTTTATGAACTTTATACAGGTTTTAGATAAGCAAATTATATAAATACAATTGGTACCGATTTGTTACATATTATGCATGTACTTTGTTACATTTTTTGAGTCAAGTATTTGGAAGGGGTCATTTCAAAACACTAGGCCTGGATGTCAAAGGGTAGCATTAGCAATGCAGGATGATTTTTAAAGCTACTATGGTTATAAATTGTACAGAGGCATCACTTGGGAATCAAGCCCAACTTTTGGCACAGTTAAGGGAAAATTCTTTAGTATCCTTGAGTTTTTCTTTTTATTCCCTCAGTCCTGAAAGGAGAATAAAAATTATTCACCCCATTAAACGTTCAACAAGTAAGTTTTAGTTTTGACTCATCCCATGGGTTTTCACAACTACCTCAGAGACTTTTAAAGCCAAGGCTGTGCCTGACTCTTAAAAACAGAGTGGTAAGGAGCAAGGCTCTTTGTTCCCTCTTTCAGCTGTCTGTCTGTACACGTCAGAAGGAGCCCAGACTTCTAAGGGGCTCCAAAGTCTATGGCTACATCTCTACTAAGTATAGAATAAAGTGATGCCTATGTAAAATCTGTCTTCATTGAGTTAATAAATAAACAACACAATAACGAACTAAACACAATTGACCTAGTTAATGAGTATGCATTATATATTTACATCAGGAATAGTTTATGAATGTTAATAACAATTTGGTCATACTCAGTGGTTCCCATAGGCAAAGCACTGTACTATGTGGAGAGGGTAGACTGAGTCAGGAAGGCGTAGACCAGCCTAAGACATGGTCAGTACCGTCAAAGTATACAGTGGGTGTGTATATGTTTTTAGAATCCTTCTGAGGAGGTATGTGTAGTTAATGAAAGCATTTTTATTCAAAATAAATTTTATGAAAATGTTTTTTATTGTCCACTTTTATGTTTCTTTTAAGGTATTTAGGTGAAAGATTACACTTTGGAAAAGTTAATCGTAGCATTATATGGAGTAGTTAATATGTAGCATCACCTCATTTCCTTGTGCTCGTTTTGTTTTAAATTGAGTAAGCTGTGAGGGCGATGGCCAGATAAGCAGTAAACCTGTGGGCATTTTTAGCCCATGTAGTTTATAAAAGCCGCTGGTTTCCGAACACTTTGGAAGCAGCTTTGTTTTACTCTGCTGGGTTTCTCAGTACTCCTGTGAGCTTCAGTCATAGCTTAACCATGAGCCAGACAACGGTGACCAAAAGGATAATAGTTTTTTCAAGGCCCATTTGTCATTTCTTCCTTTTATAAGCATATTGTAGTGCCTTTTATTCTCTTTCATAATAGTTTGTGTGCAGCTTTTTTACATACTCTGTTTTCAAACTGGCGCCCTAACACAAGATGAATAAATTTTTGTTTCAGATTCCCTTTCATTGTCCAGGAAAAAAATGTATTCTCTTGATTTTTATTATGACTATGTGTATAATTGTGTAGGGTTTTTTTAAACAATAACTCCAAAGCTGCTTGGATATTTTTGAGTCTGAGAAATGAACTCTTTTCCTAGTGACCTCTGCCTCCTCTCACCCTGTCTTCCACTGTGTTTGGTGCAGGGCCCAATGTCAAGGCTGTTGCTACGGCTGTGGAGCAGATTTACCCATTTGTGTTTGAAAGCAGGAAAGAAATTTTATAATTCATCACTTAATTGGTTAGAATCCCTAACTGAGCACCTTTTAAAACCTGCTGCACATTGGACTCAAAACAAAAGGAAAACTGGACCAACAGTAATTGAGGAAATAGACTCTTTTATTCATTCACGGCTACAGTGTAAGCTCCAGTCCCTTTGGATTTTATTTCAAACTTTGCTGTAATATAAAAAGGAAGTTTACAAGACATGACTTTGCTGCTTTTTCAGAAGGACATTCTATTTATTTTCGCAGTAATTCTCATGTCCCCACAAGCAGAGCTGTCACAGTGTGCACTACCTTGAATTGTTTTGTTGTTAGTTTTTTCCAGTTTGAGCTAATGTGTTTTATTTGTGAATAGTCTTTTACATTTTTGTATGCTGAATATGGGCACCAAAGAACCTGTAAAAGTTATCTTTTTCAATTGAATGTGCACAAATAAAAGTTTGGAAAAGGTCTCTCTTCATATCCATTCTGTAACTTTTATTCCCCATTTTCTATTTTAATAAAAATTGTATTCCTAATTCTTTTTTTTTTTTAATCTATGCAAGCTCAGACTTTTGCTAAAGTGTGTTGGCTTCTTTTTGAAGTGTATTTTGTAAATATATGTGCTACATGTATATAGGATCTTTTAATGCTCTGTTACCAAATATCAAATAGGATTTTTTTTCTTGCAGGTTAGAAATAAAAACATGTATATAAAATCTAGGGAACCAGAGTAGAATTTTATAGATTAAGCATAATATTTTATGTTGCTAATTTAATATGATAGAAATGTTAAATATCTTTTAAAAGTTACGAAATTGTAGTTTTAAAAAAAGAAACCTCTTACTTATGAGACGGATATGAAAAAGAAGCTGTGACGGATTGGACCTCACGTGTACCTTTTTGTATTCTGCAAAGACTCAACCCTAGTTGTAGGAAATAATCTTAAGTTGGTACTTAAGGCTATATTAAATAGTCTTTTCAAAAGTTGATATATTGTGCTGTTTCAACAAAAAGTGTCCACAAGCTGCCTCTGTACCACAGTACCATAATCTAGTTCAGCTTGAACTTGAAAGCCATTTTTCAAGATACGTCTTTCCCCTTTCTGTCTTAATGGAGCTAAAAAGTGATTATCCAGTGTATAGGATAGCTACCCCTCAAGTTATAATAAATACGCATTTGTGAAACAACGGCTCTCTGGCTCACCAAGGAGCCCTGGGATGGTAACACAGAATCAAGCTGCCGATGTGCTCTGCCACGTGCATTTACATGTTTATACTAAACATAAAACCGACAGTGATTTTTACTTGGAAAATAAAACTGAGTCCAGAATTAAACTAGCTTCTCAGTAGAGACGATATTCCAACACAATCTTCCTCTAAAACCTGAATTGCCAGAATGTTTGAAACATTTGTGACAAATTGCAATACCTTAACCTCCACATTCTAGTACATATTCTTTACCATATTATAAAATCTTGAAAACTTAGCTTAAGCACTGTACTGTACAGTACATATCATTTTATTTTTATCTTCTCCATCCCCTCCCCTCCTCTGTTACTCACTACCTCGTAAGGTTGAGGGGGCGGGGGCGTGGGGTGAGGTGCAGACTGACTTTTATATTTTGTGTGAAAAACTTTTTTGTGATTTTCAGACTTCTGTTTTTTTACATTTGTGTTTACTTGCTTTCATTTAAAGTTCCAGTAGGATAGATCACCTCATAAAAGAGAATAAAATTCAATGAAAAAGTTACAAGTTCTGGGAAGCCTTTTAAAAATTTGAGGTTTTTCCACTTAGTTTTAATTAACAGTAATTAATAAGTGACCTCTTTTGTTGTGTTCCCAAAAAAAGAAATACAGATGGGGAAAAAGCATGATTATATGGTTGGTTACATAACCAGATATCATAACATTTTCAGTATTTGAGTGACTTGAAAACTAGGTAGATAAGTGAGTGGCTCATCAAAAACGCTTTCCGGGGGGAAAAAGAGACAGATGGCCCGGGTCTGGTTTCAGAGCTGCCGTCAGGGCATCACCGGGGGCGGGGGCTGGGGCTGGGCGGGTGTGGAGGGGAGAGTGCGTGTCATGCATAACCAACAAAACCTGGCGGCGCTGGTGAGAAGTGGGCAGGACTGGTGTCTTCTGCTGGCTTTGCACAAGTGCTGTAAAGGCTTTTATAAATAAAAACTGGATATAGGCCTACAGATTATAAGTGTTTTCCCTTTTTATTTTTGAAAACCCAAAAGCTCTGATTGGGAGTGTATTGGGTAAACATTAGTTTGAAGATAGAATCATTTGGTTATAGACTCAGGACAGTGAAATACAAGAGTTTTAAGATACTAAAGTTAAAGTCACTAGTAATAAATCTAATAATAGGTTTGAAACACTTCCCTGCCAATTAACAATGAATGGCTAAGAAATATCAAAAGTAAATACAGCATTTGAACTTCAAAGAAAAGCTGTAATAATTTTGTTAAATATCTTACATTCTGTGATACTTGGCAAAGGAAAAAAATTGATTACCTATCTTGATATTATTTTTCTCTCAACATAATTTCACCAAAGGTTCAGAGTGAATTTCTTAGTGAACATCTACAGAACGCACTTTCCCTTCTTCCAAAACAAAAGAGGGTCGGCAGTGCATGCTCCCATGTGCATATGAAATGTACCTTGGCAGAATTCAGATCTCAAATCTCCTTTTCTGATGGCTTCCCCTGCCAGTTTTAACCATGGTAGAACGTTTCAGAACCAGGACTTTCAGCCATTCTGAGTCTCTGATAATATAGTTTTATTATTTCTTAACATCAGTCTTCCATTTTGTTACAAGGGAATATAGTAGGTTACATACCCTTATATCCAACTTGGGACAATCTGTTACGTGCCAGTAGGAAAATTCTAAGCTAAACAGAAAGGGATTTTGTTTTTGACTCAGGATTCTCTTCTTCATGTTAATCATATTTTTGTATTCATTTTCAAGTTAGATTCATTCTTTTAAGTTTTTTGAGTGTCTTCCATAGTTTATATTAGTAATTTAATGAATTACTGCTTAAGTGGTTTGAGATTCTTTATTGTAGACTTTCTATCATGTCTAAATTCTATTGGTAAACTGCCTCACCAACTTTTAAAATTCAGCTGGAGAAATGCACAAGAGAGCAACCCGTTGTGTGGGCAAAACCCAGGTTTCTGCTACAGTTGGTGATGTCAGTTTCATCATAGGGAAGAACGTAGTAAGGGGACTGCCCTGATGTCCGAACGTCATTAATAAGGTCTGCAGTCACCTGGAAGTCAGCATCGGCTATAGCCTGCCTGTATGCCATAACCTGAGGTAGTGATAATCCTGAGGAGTGTGAAGAATTGCAGAAAACTGTGGAGCATAATGAAGTGAATGCCTTATAAAGAGACTTGTGTAAGCTTGGCTAAAAAAGTCAAATCTAATCGGTTAGAGATTTGCATAAATAACCTCATGGCCTGACTCCTAATGTTGTACTAACAGTTACTTCTAAATAAATATGGTCCCAGGAATTTCAAGTTGTCCTTTCTATTCATATTTTTTTAATGGATGGGAAGATGCTTATTTTTCTCAGCTATTGCAGAATTGCTTCTCACATTATTTTATACTGCTAATATGAGATTCATAAAAGATACTTTGCATTACACTATAGTTCCTAAAAAAGATGCCTAATCCTTGTACCTGTTAAACTGCAATTAAGAATTATTAAAATCCTAGCCAGGAACCTATCCTAATGTAGAACATATGCAATTGTCCACATTTTGTCTGGGCCCTTTTTTACCCAAGACCCCGTGCAAGTAGTGTCTTAGTAGGAGAAAAGAAAACTATAAGCTTGTGTTTAGACCACTTAGTATCTGAATAATAAAGCTGCACCTGGCCTGTATACATACATTTCTTAAGGCAAAAGGAGATCCCATCACTATAGTTCAGTTTTTCAAAGGTGCTCTGTGAAAAGGTGGAAAGTGTTGAAACACAGTGTTTTGTTTTTAACCTGGTGTCCTGCTTAAAGCAATGGATGCTTGGGACCTTATGCCTCATTTACCTACCGCGGGTGGAGATTAAAGGTAATTGCAGAGTGTCCCTTTAAAACTAGCTTCATGACACTGAAGACAAAACCTGGGAGTGGCCAGTGAGTACTGGTATGAAGACATCATACTAAATGTTCTTATACTGGATCAACGTGTATAAGGTTCTGGTTGTCCCCTACACTGCAAGAGCTGCTCTGGAGGTTTTTCTTCTTGGGGGTTGTTCTGGTGCTAATTCCTCTTGGTGATGACTCATAAAACAAATGTTGTTTTTCACATAGTTCCTGAAAGAGAAAGAGGCACTAATGAAAATGTCATTCTTAGTTTACAGTACTTTAAAAAAATGTGCAGGCTATTATTTTTCTTAAATCCTCCTGGGCTTTAATGTTTTAGCTATGCAGAAAAGACAGTTTTTCAAAAATTACAGAGTCTTGATGTACCATAAAATTCAGCATAGCACAGAACATGGGTCAGTCCCCTGCAGAGGGGAAGGGGTGAGGCGTCTTCTCAATGCAGGGCGTCCTATATGCGAGGGTTCGAGGATGGTGCGGCCTTAGCACTCCCGGAGGCAGCATCCCGGGTCCCCTCGTTTTCTTCCATTTCTCACACTCTATGACTGTGCCTCCAAAATTTGTACCTACATAATCTTTTTTTTTTTTTTTTGCACTGTTCCTGCACTCCTGCATTAACAAATTCTTTTCTACAGGATTATTCCCCTCAGCATGAAAATAGGCTCTAATATTTTACATTTATTAAAAAAGAAGTTCACCTTTGAACCTTTCTCCCCTTTCAAATATTCTTTTCTGGAATTTAACCAGTTAACCAATGGCCTGCAACATGCCTGGTACTAGAGCGGGTACACATAAGCACATGAGCTCAAGTGGTGAAAATGCTAATGAGAAAAGTAAACAGGAAAGCAGGGAAAGGACATTTTGTGGGGGGTGGGGCAGAGGGACAACATACTGCTGGTGTCTCTAAAGTAACATTTAACCTGAAACGAAAGAAGTTGGGAAGGGAAACAAGTGAAGAATTTGCAGGAAATTATACTCTTGGAAAGACCAATATGGCTGGAGCATGACAAGTACATGAAAATGGGATCAAAAGACCTTTTTTCATTATTTTGAAGATGGGACAAAAATTACACCAGGTTTCTATGCTAATGAGAAGTAGAGACCCAGTGGAGGGTACTCTGAGGATGACACAGGAGTGAGCAAGAAGAATTGTTGGAGACTGTCCTAAAGAAGAGAAAGGAGGTGAACTGTTTGGCTTCACATACGAATGATGGAGCTAAAAGAACAGGGAGAAACGGCAATGTGGTAGGATACACATACCAATGGGGGGGTGGATGTCTGAGGTTATGGAAGTTCCCCCGCGACTGTTCATTGTCAGGCGCAAGGCCATCAGAGGGAAGGAGGAGGGTTGCAGCGATGGGGATGCTTCCAGAGAGAGGTGTTACTGAGCAGTGGTCTGGGAGAGGAGCAGTTAATGGACCAGGACGAGTGGGACGGCCAGGCAGCCCTGAGGGCCGCTGCAGGTCAGCCGTCATGAGACTCGGCCCTCCCCTTGTGCGCTTTCTCAGCCAGGTTCATCTGTGTGAGTGCAGAGGCGCATCTGGTAACCCTTAAAATGTAAACTAGAGCGCGTCATTCCTCTGCTTAAAATACTTTTGTAGCTTCCCATTACACTTAGAATGAATCCAAACTCACTCTGCTTATAAACCCCTACACACCAGGCTACTGACTTTCTAACTGCATCTCAAAGATTGCAGCCTCCGGATTTCTTCTGGTTCCTAGAATGGGTCAAGTGTTTCCGGTTTATCCTTTGCACTAACTGTTCTCTCTTCCTGAATTCTCCTTCCCCCTGTCTTGGCAGTGTTGGCTCTTGATTGTCACCCAGATTTTATCGTAAATGCAACCTCTCAGAGTAATTTCTCAGCTCAATCAAGAGTAGCCCCCAATCGCAATTTTTGTCAGTGCATTTTTGCTCATTGATTAATTGTAAGACGTAGAAGATGCCTAGCACATAGTAGATGCTCAGTAAATATTTACTGAATAAATTAATTTGGATGAATGAAGAAAGGAATGGCCACATTAACTATTAGAAGTGAAAAACAGGCCTCAGAACTAAAATGTTTACAAAAACAAGAACTTGTTGGGTTTATATATTTCCAGCTGAATTGGAGAAAAGTCGCAGCTGAAATAGCGCATGTGGCAAACATCCCATTTTCAGTTTGTAACTTACAGGGCAGAAGTTTAAAATAAAATCCTTTCAAATTACATTGTTGCTGAAATCTTTCCTGACATCTCAGCTGAATCACTATTTATTTTATGTGAAACTTAACAACCTTGGGAGAATATTTGTTTCCTCAGGCTGGTAGGAATAGCAGTAAAAGGACCCAATTCCAAATGCCAGAAAGGAAAATGTTATGCAATGGATAGGATCACATTTGGAGTTAATTTCATATTATAGTTTCTTTTCTCCTTAGCAAATCATTCAGATATACACATCAGGGTCATCCGTTTTCCAGGTGACAAAAATTGAGTCATTGTCTCCTTAACTCCTAAGTTCATAGACTCCCGTCACTCAGCAGTGTCCTTCCTCAGCTTTCAGGATCACTTCAGCTTCCCTGTCCTCGCAGGTTCCCTGGGCTTTCTGCCACCCCACATTTACTTCCCTGGTTCAGTAACTTCAATGCCATTATGTATTTTATGTTTATTCCTGCCTCTGACATTTCCCTCCAGGGAAGCTTGTTTAACATGCGTATTTCATACATACTTTGATCAATCTATACAATTCTTACATTTTCATTTTTAAAGCCTTTGCCAACTGTCTGCTTCAAGCCAAGACAAGCCCCAGCCTCTCTAGTGTTGCATAAATAGGAGTTTGCCAAGAGTTTTTTTAAAGCAACTGTTTCCGGCCCGCCATCAGGACTAGGCCTTGCCACATGGATACACCCAGCAGATACTGCTGCTCCTGCTCCAAGGGAGTTTAAAATGCAGAATTATTGTGCCACCTCATCTTCTGTAATTCTCTGCACCGATGTGCTTATCTGGTTTCGTTCTTCAGCGCCAACCTCCCAGTCCTTGTGTCGTCTGTCTAGGGGTGGACAGTACCTTGGTTTTGGATCTCTCATACTTTGCAATTTTTAACTTTCTTTCGATAGGGTCTCGATTTTAAGATGGAATCATTGTGTGACTCAAACGTACCAGAAATATGATCCTTTCAAAAACATTTCTTACTTCCGTCTTACTAATTTAGACTGATTCCTTCCCTACCCCATATGATGGAATAGTTTTGTTCAGTTTTAAATCACACGTTCTTAGGGGATGTCTTATTCTGTAGATCCACTAGGTGATGGGCCGTTCTTAAGTTTTGCCTTATACATTTGCATTTGGTTTGCAGTTTGATGCTTTCTGACAGCCCCCTGTGAAAAATAGATCTAAAGGTTTCCTAACTCACCCAGAACACTCTGCTTGCAAGTTAAACTTCCTAAGAAAGAAGGAAATAGGCAGTGATAATAGGGTTGTTTCCTTCGATTAACTTATTACTATTTTCCCCCTGCTTCAGTGTTTTAGCTAGTATTGCTCACATGGGTTTAAACAAACCCTTAGGAAGGTTTGCTCTCCCAGCTAGTAGATGGGTAACTCAAAAGTACATATACACAAGGTGGGTTCCCATAAAACCAACAAAGCGTAAGCCCAGGACCCCACCTGCATAGCCCCTTCCGAGACCCACATAGTCATGTGTAATTTTGCATTCAAAATTTGTCATATTTTTCTTAAAGTGGACCCTCAAAAGCTTAGACTCCGCAAAACGTGGATCTCTGTTAAGGACCAAATCTATTTCTCCAGCGTAGGCATTGCTCCTCACTCCTGCTCCCAGCGAACACTTGCCTTCTTGCCCCTTCACTTGTGTGTTCCGTAGGTGCCTCACAGTCCATACACACTGAACTCAGTGTCGTCCCCAACCAGCCACCAGACTCCTGCCTCCCAAACCTGCTCTTTCTCCTGCTCGAGGTCTGTCTTCAGTGACTGTCCCATCATATGCTGGCTTAGTGCCCTGTGTGAGAGAGATCCCCGTTCCCTGTACCCTCAGGGGCCTCTTCCGTTTAGCTCGGAGCTGGGAGGTGCCATCCCTGCGCCCCAGCCAGCCCCCTAGTCTCCTGTCTGACTCCTCCACACACTCCTCTTAGCCTCCCTCATTCGGCAGCTCCCCTTCCCATTTGCCAGATTTTGCCAAAGTGCTTCTTCAAAAATCCGGTTAATTTTCTCCCCTGCCCGGTTGTTGTAATCATATAGCACTACTCTCAGGATAAAATCCAAATTCTTTACCGAGACGAAGAAGACCTTTCCTGACTGCTCCCCGCCCCGTGCTGTGGGCTCATCTCTCCATCCCCAGCTCAGAACCTGCCCTCTTCATGCCGGCCCAGGAGTGCGCGGGCCTCTTCCTGGGATCCTTCCTTGGACTCCCCACATTCCTCTTCGCCCGGATAACGCTCTCAAGGCTGCCCTGGCATTGACTTTTTCAGGAAGTTTTTACAGGTGAATCCCTCCAATAATACTTCTCTTTGTGCCTTCCAATGCACTGTATTACAATGGTCTGTTTTCTTGTCTGCCTCTTAAATAAAGTAAAGAAATGATGGATTCTTTCCCTCCTGTAGCTTCCATTCTTTCCTGGTACAGCATCTGGTCCCTAGGGGATGGTCAACAAAGAGATGAACAAATAAGTAGCAGCAGAAGCGGTGGAAGGCAGTGGTGCGGCAGAGCCAGCAGGTCTCACGTATCTGAACACAGACCTCTCCCTCCTCCCCCTGCACAGATCAGAGATTTAATCACACCCGTGACCCACACAGCCATTGCCTTCCTGACAATTGTATTTCTTTTTGTAAATGAATGTGTCATTTTCTTCTTTGAAAACAAGGCCTTATCTTTATTGAAAATTAGCCCTACAACTGTAATTTAACTTATGGCTTGAATTAAGGGAACTTTTTCTGCGTACTAACATGATATGTTTCTAAAATGTGAACCATTTAAAAGTGTATAAAGTACAACATAGAAGATTTTCCACAATCTTGCTTACTGTGCACCCTAATAAACCAGGATCAACAGTTTGGCCCATATAAATATATATGGCTACCATCATTTCAGGTTTATTCTTCCTTCAAATAAAACCCGAAGAATCACCGTGCCCACAATTTCAGTAGCAGTCATACATTTCTCTCTAGTGTATTGAAAGTATCTTTAGAAGAACGTCACAAACTACATGTGTAGTTTCCTCCCATTTTATTAAAACCCAAGAACAGGTATCTCTGCACTTTCAGGCATAAGGACTGAATCCTAGGAAGAGAAACAAGTTCCCCTTCATTCCCGGCCTCGGTGCGACACCCCCTTCCCCAGGCCTGTTTCAGCACTTAGAGCTGTGAGTTCTACCAAAAGAAAGAGTTTTTCCCAGCCTACTTCTAAGTTACCTTGTTAAAGCAATGTTTCCATGGGAAATTTATTTAACCAGCTTTCTGCATGCCTATTCACCTAAGAGACTCTCAATCTTCCTTAAACTTGCCATGTGCCATATTTGGAATAATCGTAGACATTGACGCCAAGTTTCCCTGATAATCTCAGCCTTAACACGTGTTGAGGGTTTAAACAGACTGGCGAGTGTGACAGAGATGAAGAACTGAGGCCGCGGTTCTAGCCCAGGGTGAGCCCAACCTTCCAGGGTCTACCCTGAACCCCAAACAGAGATCCCGTGGTGTTGGGGGCAGAGGGGGAGCTAGGAGATGAGAGGAGTTCTTTGATCATTGCTGAGAAGAGCTTTGAAAGGTTCACTTGTTAAAAACACCGACTATTCTGATTCCTTGGGTGACTCACCCAACTAAATACATGGCCGAGAAACGGGAATCGTGTGCTATGGTTGGTTCCACACCAGAGAGAATATCCTAAAATAAGTTCAAATATTATGATGATTTAGTTGTATATAAAAGCTGCATTTCTGACCAAAGGGGGCTGTTCAGAGAGCAATGCACCTCATACTTACGCTTTTGCCAGATCCATTGATATTTGCTCCAAAGAGCATCCCTTTGTCTCAGGTATAAACACAACAACAAACACCAGGGCTGCCACGCTCATGACTGCATACGTAAAGCACACCCAGGGCAGTCCGACGAGATCTGTGAAGGACGAAAGAAACCGGTCAGAGATTGGTTTTCCGTTGCTTTGATCTCACTTGTGGACAGCCACTTCTTAGAGCATATATAAAAACGTAGGTATTTTCAAACACTCAGTATCCTGGGAAATAGCAATAGAAATTAAACTACAGCCAGCCTCTGAACGTTTCATGTTGACAAACTACCCCAGCTTCCTGCGTTAGAATAAATACCAGCCTGGTAACCGTTACAATTTAAATCCAATGCTACCTTTTGGTGAGGGTGATTTTTGTTTTGCTCCTTGCAAAAATAGAATCTGAAACAACACCGAAATAAAGAGGAGGGTAAAACTCCTCCTCTCCCTCTTTGTGCTCCTCGATTCCTCTCTCGGAATTACTGCTGTAGCAGTTTGGTTTCTATTAATGGAAATTTTAAAGACATATTGATACAGATGGACTTTCTTGGAACAAACTCACCCTTCTTTACTCTGATTTTTTTAATTGATTTTTTTAAGTAACCAAATTCTATGTTTGTTTGTTTGTTTATTTTAAAATGTTTATTGATTTTTGACTTAGAGGGAGAGAAGGGGGCGGTGAGCGGGAAGATAGAGAAACATCGACTGGTTTTCCCACATCTGCGCCCCAACCAGGGATCGAACCCGCAACCTACGTATGTGCCCAAGGCAGGAATCAAACTCCCAACAATTTGGTGTGCGGTACAGTGCTCCAAACAACTGAACCACACCGGCCAGGGCCTTTATTTTGAATTGAATAAGTCACTTCACGTTGGCAATATTTTATCTTTTAGTTGCTAGCGTATTTGCAATGCTTCTTCCTAGATTCAGAGAAAAAAAGTGATAATGGTTTTAAGAAAAGACATTTACTTGCTCAGCTGCAGCAGTGAGAAGCAGGATGGATCTCACTTGCCAGCCTTGTTTTCTCTCTGGCCACTTCTAGCCAAAGGCACAGTCCCTTTGTCGTACTGACCAAGGTCAAGGTATGTTAATTGGTGAGAGGTGGCCCGCTGTGCACTTGAGCATGCATTTGTGTCAGCAGAAAAGGTCCAGTGTGGCAGAGGGGAGTGAGCAGGGAGCTGGCTCTTGTTGAACAGAGACTCAGACCAACCGCAGGCTGGAGCCCTTAACAGCTGCTGCCACAAATCACGATTGGTCAGTCAGGAAAACTGACAGAATAATTGTGTTCGAGGCAGTTCCATAAATGCAGTGCGGAGGGAGCTAAGCACACTGCCACTGGCCAGCCCGCTGTGCTGAGGAGGGGAGAAGCAGGAATGAGGAATAGCACTTCATTTAAACTGATTCCTCTGTGCATTTCTTGCTGCTGGTACACGGTTTTGCCCAAGTGAATGCTTAATAAAGTGCTCGTAGACTTAGTCCTTCTTCCCTTCTGGAGCATAAAACCAGAATATAGAAAGTAGAAAAAAAAAACCAAGAGAAAGTCTCATCAAACTTGTCCCCTAATCTGTTTGAGCACTTCCAGTAACAGAGGGCTCACCACTTTAGAAAGATTCTCTCTGCATGGTGAGCCGACCCTGCCTGTTAAAAAAGTATCCCTTACCAACTCCTAAGTGCAAGGCCACCTTTCAGGAAGTTGGACTCAGAGGTTCTGCTGTGTCCTCTGGATCAGCTTTCCCCATGCCTTCTACAAGGCAGCGCTCCAGTGTTTCTGTGCATCTCTACCCCTTCCCTGGGCATCCTCTGTCCGAATCAAACCCCCTAAACTCTTGCAACTGTTCTTCACAAGCCGTAACGTTAGGACAAGCGTCTCATTCTTGCTTGTCCTGACATGTCAAGCTCATTCAAGGTGTGAGTCCTTCTTACTAAGTGCTATTTTTGCTAAATGTTAAAATGTAGCACAGTATTTTCAGACCAGCTGGGAAGAGGATAAGCTTGATAGGAACCCAACCTAGTAAGTGTAGCTACATGTAGGTGTATGTATAGAAGCAACGCTAAGCCTCCCTTCCAGGAGGCAAGAGCTTTGGATATCTATCCTGTCTCCTTTACTAGCTGTAAGCAAATAAAACTATCTTGCAACAAACATGCCTCACACATCTCATTCTTGAATAGAACACTCAAGCAGTGAACCTACTGAGAACACCCAAGCAGTGAACCCCTTGAGCTCAGAAACAATAGGTCGTGTGCCCGTGTCATCCAGTTTGCACTTGGTTGGTGCGCATGCTGCAACCCTCTGAAAATACTTAAACAATCTCCTTAAAAAGCTTTACTCAGAGCTGCACGCAATACTACAGCTGTGTCATGAGCATTGCAGAGGACGTCTGTCTCTCTGGAACACTGTGTTTACTGATGGAGCCGAACTTGCAATATAACGGTTGGTGTCCAAGGGCTTGCCGTCATTCCAGCTTTTACTTGGAAAATTAAATTATGTATGTATGTATGTATGTATTTTATTTTAATTAATTTTATTTCATTTTATTTTGTTGATTATGCTATTGCAGTCGTCCTGACCCTTTCCCCTTTGTCCCCCTCCACCCAGCACCCCCCACCCCGTCAGGCAATCCCCCACCCTCATTCATGTCCACAGGTCATACATACAAGTTCTTTGGCTGCTCCATTTCCTATGCTGACTTTACATCCCCATGGCTATTCTGTAACCACCTATTTCTTTTTCTTAATCCCCTCACTTCCCACCCATTCTCCCGCACACCCCTTCCCATCTCTTTATCTTTAACCTTTGGCATTTTAATTATGATGTGTCTTGGGGTGAACCGCTTTATGTTCATCTTGTTTGGGACTCTCTATGCTTTCTGGGCTTGCATGTCTATTTCCTTCACCAAATTAGGGAACTTCTTTCATTTTTTTTTCAAATAGATTTCCAATGTCTTGCTCTCTCTCTTTTCTTTCTCGCACCCATATTATGCAGATGTTGGATTGCTTAAAGTTGTCCCAGAAGTTGCTTACACTATCCTCAATTTTTTTTTTTTTTTTTTTTTTTGCAGGCGGGGGGTTGGAATTCTCTTTTCTTCTTGTTGTTCTGATTGGTTGTTTTTTACTTCCTTATGTTCCAAATCATTTATTTGATTCTCAGCTTCATCTACCCTACTGTTGTTTCCCTGTAAATTGTTCTTTATGTCAATTAGTGTATCCTTCGTTTCTAACTGGATCTTTTTTATGCTGTTAAGGTCCTCATTAAGTTCTTTGAGCATCCTTATAAACAGTATTCTGCATCTAATGGATTGCTTACACCCATTTTGTTTACCTCCTTTGCTGGAGTGTTGATCTGTTCTTTCATGTGTGCCATGCTTCTTTGTCTCCTCGTTTTGGCAGCCTCCCTGTGTTTGTTTCTATGTATTAGGTAGAGCTGCTTTGACTTCATGTAGCATGGCCTGATGTAGTAGGTGTCCTGCAGCATCCAGTGCCACAGCCTCCCCTATCAACCAAGCTGGGAACTTGAGGTGCGCTCTTTGTATGGACACCCTCCTCTTGCAGTTGAGCCTTGGTTGTTGTTGGCAGATCATGGGAGTGATTTCCCAAGCCAGTCACCTGCAAGGATTGGCTGTGACCACTTACCACCACCCTCTCCCCTCCGTGGAGGATCAGTTATGCCAGGGCAGGGTGGTGGTGCTCCGATGTGGTCTGTAGCTTCCCACTGGGTGCGCTGGCCCTGGGGTTTCCTGGGTGGTGCAGGCCAAAGTCAGCCCCCACCTGTGTTTTGCCTGGGGCCACTCTACCTGAGCTATAAAGCAATTTGAGCTGGGTTTGTGCTGAGTTTGGAGATTCCCAGGCGAAGCCAAGCTGTGAATCTAGGCAGCTGCTGCTAGGACCTGGCCTCAGGCTCACTGGGGCCAACTGTTGCTTGTTTGAGAGGATTTAGGAAGTTGTGAATCATGAGCCAAGACCAGCCATTCATATGGAAAAGCAGCTTGGGAGGGCATCTTGGGCTATTTCTAAAAAAGTAGGCAGGGGACACACATTTTAGTTTTATATAAAAAATTCAAACCATACTTATTTAACAACTCCAAAAGTTCCAGAAGTAGGTGTACTTAAAAAAAGTGGTTGACAAGATTCAGAAATACCATATATATGTATATAGATAGGCACATTTTTAAGTGTGCATCCACTTTTGAAAATTTATACATAATATATGCATATTATTCACATTTTTCCCATAGTCTTATAATTATTTTTTTATACTTTGAATCATGACCCAACTGCAGGACTTACAACTGACCCAATGTCTCTTAAAATCAGCAGGTTTTAGCTCCATTTCTCCCCACTCTCCCCCACACTTTACAGTTCATGAAAAACACTGGGTCATTTGTTTAGTAGTTCTCCCCAGGCACGATTTTGCTGATTGTCATCAGATCACATGACTTTCTGTCCTTTGTGTTTCCTGTAAACTGCTATCTAGATCTAAAGGCTTGAGGAGGTTTAGATTTTGTTTCTTTGTTTGCAGCCTCTCTATATACGTATGTCTATGTATAAAGAAGAAAAGGAAAGAGAGAAACCTCAACTCCTTGGTCATTTTTGGAGGATGCAGGGGAACCACCTCATTATTTCAAAAACTGAAAAACAAAGAGAAAGCTTTCCTTTCTTCTATGATCCATATGTTAGGGTAGGCAAATAAGTATTAGTTATCAGAAACTCCTTCTAATAGTTATAGAAGAAATGCCTCCTTAGAGAAGTAATACAGATAAAAAATTAGAAGGAAGGCTAGAAGGTAGATAACGGATCTGAGCAATGGTTCCCAAAGGAAGTGACGTGACATAGTAGGAGGCAAGCAAACAAAATAAGCCTCTGATGGCAAGACACACGCAGTCACCAGTGACAGGATCTGCAAACAAAGAAACAAGAAAGTCTAAATCTGAAAACTCTAGGTCTAGATAACAGTTTATAGGAAACACAAGAGACAGAGGCCACGCCGTGTGATGACAATCGGCAAAATCCCACCTGAGGCAAACTATGAAACGAATGACCCAGTTTCTTCATTAAGAATATCAAGTAGAGAGGAGGGAAGAGAAATGAAGATGAAACCTACAAATTTTAAGAGACATATCATCAATTATAAGTTGTACATTTGGATTGTGATTCAAACAAACAAAATATAGAAAATTATAAGACACTTTGAAGAATGTGAACGGAGACTGTGCATTGATACCAAATTTTTTTATTAATAGATATTTATTAATATGTTTAAGTTGATAATGATATTGTGTTTATAGTTTTCACATGTCTTATTTTTTAGAGATCCATGCTGAAATTTCATAGACAAATGACATTGTGTTTGAGACGTGTCTTAACCTAATGTGGGAGGAAGAACAGGTGAGGTTATACGTGAATTAAGGTTGGCAACTCTTTAAGTTGGGTGGTAGGTACGTCAGGCTCCTTGCCACTCCCTCTACTTCAGAATGTGCCTGAAAGCATCCACAGTAAAATGATTTCTAGGTGAGTGTGCTTCCCTTACATTTGTCCTAGGAACACAAAGACATTCGAGGAAAAGGACGCATCCTTACCGGTCACGGTCAAAAACGTCAGAGAGATGAGGAGGTTGATGCCCCAGTTCATGCTTGAAGTTAAAGCCATGGCTTGTCCCCTGATTCCACCAGGAAAAATCTCGCTGAGCACCAGCCAGGGCACTAGAGGAAAAGGCAGAGGGGGCGGGGAGCGGCAGAATGATCAAAAAGCCATTGCAATTGAGGGGCAGCCCACAGTTCTCCACCCTAGTCCTGAGTGATTTGTGGTTGGAGATCAGGGCCATGTGCTTTCTCCGAACCTCCGGCCAAGTGAGAAACCCTGAGAGAGTCTGACAATGGTCCTCAGAGCAGGGGAAGGGAGTTAAAGTACTGTATGTGACACAGGCCTGGCAAATGCAAATGAGAGGGGCAGGGGGTGGAGCCACCCACCAAGCACAGAACCTCAAGGTCAGCTCTTAGTTCTACCTGCTATACCTCTGGGCCCTTCCCTGTAATCTCCTTTGCCCCTGACCTTGGGGAAATCCAACATCACAGCTACTGAGTGGATTGGAAATAAAACTAAGAGGTTCCGAGGAAGGAGGTGGCTACTCTCATTTCTACTTGGACTTCCTGGCCTGGGCAAGCTAGTTAGAGCACAGCTCTAACTTAAATAGAGCTCCAAGGTTTGATTGGTGTACCAGACTAAACAGCTGAATTTTTGAAAGGAGACTCTTCATGGCATGAAAACTGATCAGAAAACCTTTTTATTACCTGAGAGTGACAGGGAACCTTATAGGACCTGGCTGACAGAATTAGAAAGAGGAGGGGCAAATTAACTTGTTTCCTGCTCACAGCCAATCAAACCAAGTTTGCCTAAAAAAATGGCTGCCAGTTCCTACAATGAGCTGAGCACTTTACAAACCTTATCTCCTTTGATCCTCAGAAAACCCTACAAGACAAGGACAATTACTGTCCCTCTTTTATAGAAGAGGAAACTGAGGCATAAAGGAGTTCATAATGAGCCAAGGTCACGGGGCTCCTATGTGATTACGGGGCTTCTAAGAAGCAGGCGTGGCATTAAGCCCTGGCAATCAGCCTCTGGAACCCATGCTCTTTAGTCACGATGGTGGCTCAATGAATATTTGTTAATGAATAATTAAATGTGGTGTACAAACATGTTTAGTTCTGAGGAAAGGGGGACTAAGGAGCTGCTCCAGGCCTGGCTCACTGCTAACTAAGTCACCTTGTGTTCAAAAGCCAGCATTTATATGCCAACCATCTGCATAGTCCCAGCCCAGAGGAGGCAGTCGGACGAAGAAGCAAGAAGCAGGAGAGAGACCTCACCGGCCAGCGACCACATGGCCGCCCACGCCAGAATGAAGCAGTCAGCTGTGCCTCTAATTTAACAACGTCTTCCATCACATTATCACTCTCTGCAGAGAAAACATCTGCTCATAGTAAATTTGCTGTTTTAAAGTAAGAAAAATAAATTAAATAACAGAAGAGAGCAGGAAAAACATGTTTTTCTTGGTTATCTTTTCCAAGTAAATCTATGGAGGATTACCGTTAGGGCCTAGAAGAAACTGTAAGAAAAAGAACACGATTATGATTCTAATTAATAGGGAATTTAGAAACAAATTATATATCCCTCCTCTCCACTTCCTGCCCCAGAAGACCCTCACTAGGTTCTTTCAGATTCTACCCTGAGAGACAACCTTGCCGTGAGCTTTGTGAGGCTGGGGATCTGGCTCCGAGTAGCACCATAGCTGCAATATTCTGGTGGAGCCTTTGTGATGACCTGTCCGTGGGCAGGTACAAGACAAAATTATCTTGTAATTTCAACAAAGTTGGACAAAATCCAACTTTTTGAAGCTAAACAATCTCTACCACAGACCAATCCCCCTTGTCCTTCCTTGCCATGGGCATTTCGCATGGCTCAGGGTAGGGCGGGGGTCCCTGTTGCTGTTTGCTCTAGCAGCCATGAAGAGGAGGTAAGGGAAGGGATACTCATTTTTTACTTTTAGTGGAGGAATTAGCACAGTGATCTACTTCCATCCCTGCCTCATCACCTCTGAAACCCCCTTCTTCCGCTCTCCACTTTTCATCAGGATGGCGTCTTGGGATTATTGGGTGGGACTTGGGGGAAATCACTGCTGTGGTCATCAGAGCCATGTTGGCCACAGATGAGAACGAACTGGTCCTGCTGTTATGGGAAGTGGTGGGTCTCGCCAGCAAGAAGATGGGACAGACGCACAAAGTACTAGTGTAAGTGCTCAGCCTGAGCTGCCAGGGGCTTGCCAAAGAGCACCCGAGATCCACGCTGATGACCTTTCCTAGGCATGGATTCAATGCGGCTCTGAGCCAAGTCCTTGGACACTTTGACCAGTCAGTGGGCACTAACTGACTATTCAAGGAGAGACTCCCCTCAGTCTCACATGGAAACTGGTGAGGCAAACCTTGCACCTGACAGTTCAAAAGATAATGTACCTTTGCTAAGAGCGTCTATTTCTTTTCAGAGAGAAATTCTAAATTCTTTCTAAATTCTACTTCTAAAAGAAATAATTCAAGAATGATGCTTTGGTTTCTGTAATAGGCGGGATGTTGCAACAACTGACAGGTGTTCTGACAAGGATAGTTCCCGTCCCGATATGGGGCCTGCCAAGTTACAAATAAAGAGAATGTTATTTTAACTATGATTTCAGAACCATAAAAGTCACAGGTTTTCAGATCCAGAGAGAATGAGGTAAAAGTCAAAATGGTGCTCACAGCAAGATAGAGCTTACTGAAAGAGTTAGAGCTTTTCCATGGCAGACTTAGGAGCAAGATGACCAGAATCTTATGACCTCCGTGCCCCCTGAGGCTGGGCTGTGAATGCCTGAAATCGAAGAAACCCAGAAGCTTTGTTTCAGTTTGTGAAGGTCGCCTGAGGACTGACTATGTTACCACCTATAATGTCAAGTGTAGAGTTCTTCAAATCACTGACTTTTTTTCCTAATGACATGGCCTAATTTCTCCCCCAAGGAAAATCAAGTTATTGCCACATGCCGTAGTAAATAAATGGTGGCCGCCCCTGACCGTCCTCATTTTCCCCTTCCCTGATGACAGGCCCATAGGAGATGCTGTGTGCTATTTGCTCATGGGGAATCCACAGAGTGTCCAGAGGTGCAGTGAACACCGACAGCGAGCACAGCCGCTGCAGCTCAGCAGGTCCTGAACAATTCCCCTTGACCCCTATTATTCCACCTTCAACCCCATCATGCCAAGACTCACTATCTCAGCAATATCCATCCCTATAAATGTCAGCATCTGCACATGCCTTTAAGGCCTTTCCTGTGCTGCAAGGATTGAGGACATTTTAGATTTGCTGGGAGATAACGGGACACAGATACTGGAACTCGCATTTCACGTGGCATTAACTCAGTCTGCCTGTCAGAACCGGCCTGGTCCTGTTGCAATCTGAAGACAGGTTTATGGCTATGCAGCATGTCATAAAAAGGCCATGAAGGATGAACATGTTGATGGTCTCTGCGTGCAGGGGAGGGCATGGGCTTGGACTAGCCGGGGCAGTCGATGGAAATGACTGAGCCCTACCACATGTGAGCTGCCACGCTTGCCTGTCCCCTCCTAGGCCACTGCCACAGCATTCCCGCTGAGGCTGTAGGCTGTCTTCACTCCCTGTGCTTTCAGATTTAAGCCTGTGGCCCTCCAGGGACATTTTCCTTTTGGCTCGAGCTCTTCCTGCACCGCCTGGCGTTGTGGCCCCAGGTTTGAAAGTCTCATGGAGGTCTTGGAACTCTTACCAGAAAAATTCCTGCCAGCTTTGGAGGACTTTCTATGCTTTGGCTGCAGAGTTTTCAACATCTTGATTTGTCCCAGAGCAAGGGTCCTACACTTGGTCAGAGTAAAGCCAACACTTATGGCTTCTATCACCCTTGCAAGTAGCATGGAGCACACCTATTTCTCTCATTGCAAGTGGCTACTTACAGGCACATTTGGAAAGGAATATGCCCACTTCCTTCCAACCAGGTGTTTAGATTCTGGCCTCATAAATTCCCTAAGTGGGAAAATTACATACTTTGAAAAGTATACTCCACATAGGCCACCACCTTCAACGTCAACAATGATGTGGTATCTTTAATTAATTAATTAATTTTTTACTATTCTCTCTTCTCTTAGTCTCTTTGAGTTTTGTTCACTCCTGACCTTGTAAAAGAAGTATTTCATTCAAGAATATAATATTACATTTCTTAAATAACAAACCAAGACATTCCAGGGTGAATGCCTCTTACTTCTAGAATAACACAATACATTTCTATTCTAAATAGATAGAATTTATTGCTCTGAAGAATAATGAAAATAAATGGGGAGTTAAAGAAATTTTATAGTAGTAGAGTCATCAGTTTTTCAATTAAAAACAAAAGTTATTTGTAATATCAGCTGAGAACTTGAATAAGTCATCCTTCAGTTTTACTGAAAGCAAATTATTGAAAATACCTAGGCTTCTGAAAGGATTATTGTCTCATTATTAGAGGCATTTTTCTTCCACCCCACATTTACACCAGTTTTCCAATTGTCATTTTAATGAGTGTTCCTGAGGTTTTTATAATGTATAACATGTATCATAAGATTTCTGATGGGTAATGCTTTCTTTTAAGTGGGAACACACATAACTGGGGAGGGGGAAGGAGAAATGTTAGAGAACAGGTTTTTTGAAATTGAAATTGATTTCCTTTGAAGTATCATTAAAGGGATACTCTGGACAGTGAACCCCCAGGGGCATGCATATCCTAATTTGCAGACCACTGAACTAGAGTTCAAAATGAGAAAAAAAGCAACAGCTTCAAGAAATTAGTCTTTTTCGATTTAAAATATAACACGAATGTCATGTTTTAGATGTAGCATTTTATGTTGTGCTTTTTTCATAATCGATGCTTTGGATTTCAATCAGAAAAGTATTATAGTTTTTAATGTCCCTTGGAAAAATTCTTAACCTTGTGTTCTGGAAAATAGTAAAGTAAAACAATGAACGCTTATGTTTATTAAGAAAGTGTTAAAACCTTAGTCTGTCTCTTTAATATCTTTACTGTCCAATACTCATAATTTTGACAAGTGTTCTAACCAAGGCATAAGTATCCATGACCTTCAAGGGCATAGGACAAGGGCTGTGCTGGGCTGGAGCAAAA